GATGTCAGAGGAATTGGTGCGCAAATTATCATCACTCACCAATCAGTACTGTCGCTCTCTATACACAGTTAGCGCGATTGCAAAGTGAAAGCAAAAAACAAATAAAATTCAAACGAGATTTCAATATGTCACATATTGACAGTGGCTCACCAATGACATAATTACCCAGCTACATTTCCGAAAGAATGCAAAAGCATTGACATATATTTTTCCTTCCTACGATAGGCCGACGGGCAGGGCAGAGATAGATTTTGGTAGCCCGACTGGAAAAGTCGCTAGCCCCGGGACGTCGGGCTAGCGATTTTGCGAGCCCTGCTATTCCACCACTGCGACCTGTTTGTGAATAACTGCGTTCTTTTCTGTGTCTCGTCAGCTCTGCATCTGGCTGTGATGCAGGGTCGCCTTAACAATGTCAGAGTCCTTCTCACAGAGTCCAACATCGATGCTGAGGCTTTCAATCTCAGGTGACTTATGCAGATACACATGAACGAACTGTATTAAAACTAATGTGAGAAAAAATCTTCTGACTTTTCATCTCATTGTGTGTTTAGGGGTCAGTCACCAATGCATGTGCTGGGCCACTATGGCAAAGAAAACGCTGCTGCCATTTTTGAGTTGTTCCTGGAGTGCATGCCTGAATATCCTCTGGACAAACCTGACAATGAAGGGAACACAGGTACCACGCTCGCTTCTGTAGCTGAAGTTATAAAACTAAAATGTGGAAATCGCCGGTGCTTTTCTGAAAGGATGACAGCGACATGTGTGTTGTTGCAGTTCTGCTGCTGGCCTACATGAAAGGAAACGCAAACCTGTGCCGTGCTATCGTGAGGGCCGGCGCTCGCCTGGGAGTCACTAATAATCAGGGCATCAATATTTTCAACTACCAGGTTGCAACCAAGCAGTTGCTCTTCCGCCTTCTAGGTAGCGTTTTCATACCTAATTACCCATCAGTATTATTTCAGTATTATAAACCAACAGCCTCGCAGGGAACTGCGTGTCGTGGTGATCTTTGGGATAATTTCCACCTCCCTTTCCTCAGATATGCTTTCCAAAGAGCCCCCATGGTGTGATGGCTCCAACTGCTATGAATGCGGTGCCAAGTTTGGAGTTACAACACGGAAACATCACTGGTTAGTGCTGCAGCTTTTCTGTGTAGGCATGCAGTCGATGCAGTATTGGTCTAACGGTACGATTCTCCTCTTTCCTTCTTGCCTCCAGCCGCCACTGTGGGCGTCTGCTGTGCCACAAGTGCTCTATAAAAGAGATCCCCATCATCAAGTTTGACTTGAACAAGCCGGTGAGAGTGTGCGACATCTGCTTTGATGTGCTGACTCTGGGCGGCGTGTCGTAATGCCCCGGCCTGGATGTCTTTCAACCGCTGGCTCCAACCGCGCCAGGTCCAACTTGGCACAATTATTCAGGCACACTGGGAGCAGGACATGCTAACGAGAGAATCCCAGACAGTTGTGGACCATCATCTTTATACTATTCCAGTTTATGAAAAACTATTAATCTTTTAGAGGGATGTTGCAAGTAGGAAGTGAAACATTGTTGTTTTGTTTCTGTTTCAAAGTATGTTGACGTGAATATCAGTGGCTCTTCAGCTTGGCGATGGCTGGACTGTTCAGTGATGTTTGCGCTGACGAGCTCTTTAATATCACAAACAGGTTGTACGCGGCATTTCAGTCCACCTTTAGAAGGGGTCTTCCCTTAAACATGCCGACCTGTCCAAACACAACAAAAATATCTGCTACGAAATAAAACTCTACATACGTGATAGTTGAGGCTGCTGCCAACCAAGAACAAACGGTTAAATGCCCTTTGTTCTAAAGATCGCTGCGTTCTCTGTAATCTTTGAACATTTATTCACTATTTTGTGTTAACTGAGTAAAACAGGACGAGGAGCGGTCGAGGGGAAAGCACCTCAACTTGACTCGGTCCAAAGTGAATCAAACCTTTTCTGTTAAACTTACTTTACTGCAGACGTGATGGTGCAACTGGAAAAATACGGTGGTGTTTTGTCCCCAGTTGAGCTTTATGAGGAGACCTCGGCCAAGTTGAATGGAAACGTGACAGGAGAAAGCCCATTAATCACGAGAGCATTAGAAACCTCTCCAAAACATGAAGTACCCCCCCCCCTTCTCAGTTACAGAAATGCCTAGTATGCCTATGCATGTCATTTAATTTGCAGCCTTTAAGTCATGGTTATAATTTTAAAATCAGCCACCGGATGATTACATTCCACGTCGGGCCTACTGTGAGGTCCTCATCTTAATCCCACGACGTTGCCTCGTGTCAAGTTGTCGTCTTGACCCCATCACATGTAACGCTTCTTGATTTCTAAACCTAACAGGTGCACTTTATCAAGTTCACGTGACATTTCTGATCATGGGGGAGAATGTGGAGTAAGAGGGATGGCCACGTAGTGGGGCCTCTTCAAGTATTGTTAAATTGTACAGATAAATGTGTGATATTTTTGACCACTACAACTGTTTTGTACTTAAATGCAGTTTGTGCTTGTCATTGTGACAAACCTAAATCTTGCCTCTGTTAATCTTTTATGCACATTGTTTAATCTTTTATGCACATTGTATTGTATCTGTATGCTCAGATATCTAGCTCGTCTCTTCCTGGTGTATTCTTTTAGGGAAAAGGAGGACAACTTTACATAAAGGTCATCAAAAAATGCTTTGAGGTTTCATGATTTCGTCTCTTTGTCAAAAAGTTCAGATACTAGCCAAAGTTTTGAGTTCAGTGCTGCTAAGCAGCAGCTATGAGTGGGTCCATTCTCGGGGCTGACCGGTCTAGTGCGCTCCCACAGAGCATGACTCGGCATGTGCAGGGCAGCCGTCGTATTTCTGCAAGTTGGGGTCTTCCTCTGCCGCGATCGGGTCTTCAACACAGACGCAACGAACGCCACTGGAGCCGGGAGAGAAGAGCTTCCGTGGCACGCCTGCCCAGTGTCTCGCCACGCCACCGCTGCAGGGAATAAAGAAAAACTCACCCCTGTGTCTCCTTATGTGCACTCCTCTCGCCCACTAGTGTCAGAAATGCTGTATTACACATCAGTAGGATAATACAACATTGACTTAATACAACATACCTCTTAGTGGAGCACCAGAATCTTCCCCCACTGGCAGCGGTCCATTCTGAGTTACAAGACGGGAAGCGAATCCTCTCAGCCTCAGACTGAGCCTGGAGTTTCTTACCCTCTGCTAGTGATGCTTGTACTCTCAACAGGGCCTCTGTGGGCGCTCCAGCCTCGTTATAGAACCGACCGATTAACACACCTGTATTTAAATGTTGGATACCAAAACATTAAATGAAAACTTTCTAGGATGTTTAAGGTAAAAGTGTCTTCATTAAGTGTACGGTCATATCCTAGCTGCAATTTGCTCCATGAGTAAAGTAACAATATTCAAGTCAATTAACAAAGGAAATGTTGTTGACATTTTAAAGTAACCTTCTGCACAAGGTCATTATAGTAGCAACTAGATGTGAAAACAAACATTGTATACTTTGCTTCTGTTATATGCACATCATATAAACACAACCAGGCACACTTGCAGTAGTAACAAGAACATTATTTACTATGACAGCCACCTGGAGCTGGTCCACTACAATATGATGGGCATCACATACCCACATGTTGGTAGTCCCTCTGGTAGAAGGCCAGCCAGTCGTACAGTGCAACCACCTCTAGGGGGGACAGACTCGATACGTCATCTGTCAGCCCACTCTCTGTGAAGTCTCCGGTGATGAAGGCCAGGGAGGCGTCTTTGCCTGAAAGTACAAACACACGTAGAGACAAAGGCGGAATATAGAGGACTGTTAGAACCACACGTGGAATCCAGAGTCGTGAAACAAAGCTGGGATCACCTGCCATAAAGTGATAAGCGCCACCAGGTCCATAGTGCTTTTCTCCCTTGTGTACATCAAAAACATGGCCCAGTATGGCCAGGTATAGCCCCATGCTGCCCTGCTCCCCACCGTGCAGCGCTAACTCACTCCTGCTCAGGAGTCTGACCGGTGACCCCTGTGATGACTCAGTGCCAAACATAGCTGACCAATCAGGAGGGATGAGCAGCACTGCCAGCGACACGGATAAAAGCGCGACCACCACATAGCTGAGCATGCTGCTTTATTAAAGCTCCTTTTCTTTAAGCTTTACATTCAGCTCAGCACACAGCACAGGTGCTTCCGTGAACGGACACACCAGCCCACAGCGCGTGCGCGAACTACGAACGCAGAGGACGTTGCGGGCGTACAGAACGTCAATGCGGTAGTAGAGTAGAGCTCTGCTGTAGGTGAACGCTGGAGCGGTCTGTGTACAGACCGGTCCAACCGCTTCAGAACTCACGCCCAGTGGGCCGCAGGGGTTTTCAGGGGAGCCTTAGGTCGGCGAAACAAACATGGGCAACGCGGAGAGCGGCTGCGGCGGAGGCAGCGGCGACGAGGAAGACATAGAAACGGAGAGTCCCGGCTTCGCGGAAGACGGTCCGGCCTCTGCGACCGCTGGCGGCGGTGTTGGAGGCGGCGGCGGCTCTGGTAGTGGCAGGAGCGGAAGGGGATCGAATAACCTACCCGTGCCCACTGGTGGACCACCCAACCCCGGCGTCCTCTTGGAGCAAGTGAAACTGAGAGAAGCGGCGGCTCGTATTAGCGACTCTGGAGTCGCCATTCACGAGTCCGTCCTCGCCGGGAATGAGGGTGTCCTGATGCGGTGGCTGGAGGACCGGTTAAACCGAGGAGAAGAGTCCGTTAATGTTGAGCAATTTTGTGAGATGTTAGAGAGCAGAGATGCCCCGAGGGACGAGTGCGAAGAGGTATAAACTTGCTGTGGCCTTCCTCACGTTTCCAACGTCACATGTTATGATTGGACCGTCGCGTCTTCTGTTTTTGGCCCAGGTTCAGGTTGAGTTTGATAACTTGTCGCCACGCCCATTCAGCGTTTGTAATCAATACGTAAATACGTAATTAAGTCTTTGGACTGTCACGTGCTTTTATCACTGTCGGTCAATAAATCTAAATAGCGCTGTAGTGATGAAGAGGGGGCTCTGGTATCAGGCTTTACCTGTGACAGGTGAGTTTGGCCAGTCACAGTCCTGTCGGGCGGTACCAGGTCGAGTAAAGCGCTAACGGGACGATCTATCCCAGGCACGATGCGTGAAGCAGCTCGGGAGGCTCCGATTCTGTCAAACCACAACTCGGCTATGATGATTTTAGACTGTGGCTCATGTGCCTTTGAACTTGGAGAGAAGGGGGAGTTTTCTAGCAGCCCCCCCTTTGTTTTTGCCGTTTGTAGATTTCTAGAAGTTGCAGTGGATCGAGTAAACGAGCTGACATAATGTCACCTGTTCTTGTGGGGTTGTCACTAGGTTTTCCGCTTTGGTCACTTGTAGCAGACCACATTGTGTTGTTGTCTCTTGACTGGCTGTTTTTTAACCAGTGGTTGCAGATGACTGGTTGAACTAATGCATGTCAGTCTGAGCTCTTTGTCTGAGTAAATACTGACTATCAAAGCTGTGCTTTTAGGGAGTGGGACGATGTTTCTTTCAGGAATCAAGCCACAGACTCCAGAAGTATAGCTACGTAACATCTTTTATACCATAAAACGTAGACCTGAGTGCTCTTTATGTTCACACCAGTTTGTGTTTTAAGACTAATGTTCTTATAGTTTTTTGCAACACTGTGAAAGTGAGGAAGTAAATGTTGGTGTAAAATCCAGAGTCTTTGTCCTTCTCCACTGTCTCAGGCCTTTGGTCAGTTTGATGCGGAGGGGGATGGAGTGGTGGACATAGAGAGCATGCTGATCGCTCTGAAGAACTCCAATGGAGCTAATCTACAGGGAGAGCTGAGTAATGTGATAAGACAGCTTCAGGCCTGCTCGCTTACCCCAGGTACGATTTGTTTACCCGGATAAACAAACTCGACCTTATTTGAATCGGTGCAGCCAGCGTGTGGCCAAAAAGTTAACCCGTTCGTTTTTCTTGTGTTTTCCTTTCCACAGGTTTTGTGGACATATTCTCCAAGACCAAAGACCGATTAGGAGCACACGCCTCTAAAATTCTAAAGTTCTTACACAGGAATCGTATTCCCAGCAGTGCCATCCCTTTCCCAATTTTAGAGGGCTACAACAGTATCTGCACCATGAGGTCCAGCGTGGTGCAGGACTTCTTGGAGTTCCTCTTGCAGAAGGAGAAAGGTGAGCATGAGAGTTGGCGAGTGCTTAAGGAATGTTTAGTCATTTAAGGTTAAATGCACATCCAGCAGCGCCACGCCTGCGGTGAGGCTGTCCTCATGTGAGGTTTTCCTTTCAGATTTGGATATTCAGTACAGAGCAGAGCTGGACCGTGACCCGGATGTAGACATGGTCAAGGTCGTCACTCAGTGCTACAGCACAATAGAAGCTTCGTCCAATGTTGCTGACATCTACAAGATGACAAACGGGGAAACGGCGTCTTTCTGGCAGTCTGACGGCAGCGCTCGCTCACACTGGATACGGTAAAATGCAGCTGAGTTTCTGATGTTTCTAAGCAAGTCTATTAACAGATCTAAGGTGGAAACTCGTCTCCTTTCTCCCTTCCCAGACTAAAAATGAAACCGGATGTTGTTTTGAGACGTTTGGCCATTGCCGTGGCTTCTAATGACCACAGCTATATGCCTCAGCTAGTGTCCGTCGCTGTGGGGAAGAACCGGCGTTCTTTGCAGGAGATCAGAGACATCCGCATCCCGAGCAATGTCACGGGCTATGTAGCTCTGTTGGAGAACGCCAACATCACACACCCCTGTGAGTCACCATCCTTCTAGCGTCTCTCACTGATGCTTCTACACTATCACCTGTCTGAACATAAAGCATGGTGTAAGCTTCATATGAGCTTTGTGGGGTCATACAGTTGTGCTTTCAAGTAGAGCAGGGCGATATGACCAAAAATATTTATCACGATATACATTTGAAAATTTGCGATAACGATATAACTGAC